TCTGTTCTAACCAAGGAACAGCTTTGTGAGCCCTCTTGGGAACTCCCCCATGTTTCAAGTGCAGTAGTCCTCTCCTGCCTCAAAATCTTTGGCAACAGGCATAATCAGCCTATCTGAGGAATGGAGGTCTCCTTGGAACGAGCTGATGGCTGTGTGTACATCCATCAGTCCTGACCTACACAAATGCATGTCCTGGTTGTGTGCCTGTTTCTGTGTCATCCATCTTCTCATGGCTGCTTGGGAAGGGGGTGGCTGTAGGTAGTCAGCAAGCTCCCAGAGCAAGTCATCAGCTTTATCAGCTTCCAGATGACAACATTTTTGGGAAAGAGGCAGTGGAGAGTGAGTCACAGGCTTAATGAAGCAGCCTGCTTGGTCACCTTCCTATTTCAGATACTTGAAATTAAAAGGGTCATTGGTCAAGTGAGTTAAACTCAAGGGAGATCCTTGACAGTTATTGCCCATAATGACACTGCTCTTGTCACCATGACTGTTGTGGGTCCAGTGGAGATCAGGTACAGCAGAGGAGTGAGGAAGAGGGAAATTCATTCTTGTGAAGATGCACAAATGACCAGGAATTTGCACTTCTGCAAGTGGAAACCTGAGGATATGCCCCACACATGACTTGTTGTGAGACCTCCATCAGTAGTCCTCACTAAGACAATACTCCAGCCAGCATGAGCATAGTTATGAAATGTTTTACTTCCTTCATGAGCTATAACACCTCTCTCTTTCTCTCTCTCTCTCACACACACACTCCTCCTTTGGCTTTTCTTCATCCCCATGCCTGCAGGCTCAGCAGCTGGTCACTATGGCCTCGCAGGCTCAGGAGCCCTCCCTGGTGAGCAGGGCTGTCCTGCAGGGGGGAAGGCTCTGCTGACACCCCAGGGCAGCTGCTGGATGAGTTTGCCCCCAAAGCAGCAGCAATATGGTCACGTTGGTGTGTCATTCATTCACCTCCCCTAGATAGCTCCTCTGAGGTGATTTCTTCATAATTACGTCTCCAGAATTATTTCCTTCTGTGTTGTGGCATAGGGAGGCACACACTGCCCCAAATGCCATGGGAGGAGTTCTCTGTTACCTGCTACCACTGTGTGCCTGGCACTTGGGAAAAGCCAGGAATGACAGGGAGAGGGAGGGCAGAAAAAGGACCTAAAGGTGTGTTCCTTCAACACCTCCTGCTTGACAGTTGAGCCCTGCTTTTACCATGGTCAAGTGTCACAGGGGACCAAGTTACAGGGTGAATCAAACTCTATATTTAGGAAGAACAACTGGAAGCTATGACAGGAATTCCCTTTTACACTTCGCTTCTGTGCTGAGTCCCACTCCAGCCTGGAGCAGCACTCAGTGCCGTCCAGGCTGAAAGCATCGGAGCTATTTCAGACACATTTAAAGGGTCACATTCAATACCTCAGCTGGTAGAAGAAGGTACCTCTTTCAGCATCAAAAGGAGGTGTGCCTACTCCCTTGACGGTTTGGAACTTTTTTTATATAAGTAAATAAGTTAGCTACTCTTGAAGGGGTCAATTAAAATCTTGAAAGACCCTCATGAAAACTCTTTAGGAATTGCTGTGAGTTTACTACAATAGTTGTGGTTTTCTGCCTATTTTAATGTCTCATGCAGTGTATCAGAGTATTCAGAGCAGATCGCTATTACTTCATAGTCTGTGGGATCTAAAAATTTAAAATAAAAGTCACTTCAATACCTCATGACTCATAAGAAGTGTGTATAAGTTTGAATATTGTAGTACATAGGCAGAAGGCTATTGTTTTCTGTATGTTTAGTATAGTTAGTAAAATATTACATTATGGTTTTGATGTAAGAGAGGTTTCTTTCACTAAGTTTAACAGGCAGCTGTAATGAAGATTATTGTGTATGTATTATGGAAAATGTGACCACATTTGCCTAGAGCTTGTAGTAAGTTTTTGTGTAACAGGCTGAAAGCTGCAGAGTAGGGGTTTCTCTTCTTTCATTGTACTGCTTAGGTCTCACAGTTGTGTAGTTCCTGTCAAAGTCTTTTAATAAGATAATACACTGCAGTTCTGTCTCCGAAATGCCCGTTGTGCATGATGCTGTGCATGCAGTGGAGGGAGAGGACAGCTTCCAGCTGGGGCACAGGGGAGGGCTCTTGCTGTTGTCTGTGTGCTACTGTACATCTCTTGTGTGCATTACAAAAGATGGCATTATGATATCTCCTCGTATTTAAAGCAAATTGAATAAATCAGCTTATTATCTTGCTGCAGCTCTGTCAGAAATTATTTTTAGCCGAGAGACAGAAGATAGGTTCCTTTGTTTTGCAAAGTTTGCTTCAGAACACTCATTTATTCCCCTGCAGTAGTCCTATATTTCACAAGTAGTCCTGCTCGTGAGTACTTTCACTGCAAATCAAGGGAATTTGCAAGGGAAGGTTGCCATAAACCAGCTCCAAATTGAACTAATGCTGCCACTGCTTTCTAAGTTTGGCTCAGCATGCAGCCCATAAAAGGTAAAAGGTAAGGTGTGGGGAGGCCAAAAAGACACCAGGGAATACAGGCTGCGTGTCTGCATTTCTCTGCCTGCCAGAGATGTGAAATCCTGCTGTGGAAATGAGGGTGAAGTGGGATTTTTTCAAGTTTGCAGAGCTGATTGGAATACCAGAAATAACTTAATACAATCAGTGCAGCACTCTTGACTCTCTCTCTGAGACACGTGGTGAAAGAACAAAGGAATTGATAAAAATTAACTTATCACTTCTGTAATGGATGCTTCTGTAATCTAAGGTTTATTTTCCTGTGATTGATGGTCAATATTGCTCTGTAAGGAAATTCAGGGAAGGGAGGGAAGGGGAAAGAGCCAGAGATCTATTTTTACTCAGTAGTGTGCTGTTGTCCTGATTTCTCTGGCGGTAATGAGGACAGCACGGTCTGCTAGGAAAATCACCTCCTCCAAAAGCAGTCCTACACAATTGTATCATGCATCCCTCTTTAGGAACCGGTGTCTGATTGCAGTAATTTCCAGCACTGACTGCTTGTGAACCCAGAGCACCTCGCTGAGGAGCACTAGTGCTGGGCTTGTTTCAGAGCCGAGGTTCAGGTTAAATCCTTGCCATTTATCTCTAAGTGGCCCAAGAGGTGTGTGTGGGTGTTTTTGCAATGCACAGGCATGCAAAATGAGGTACATCTTGGCAAGAATTTCTTTGTGACAGTGTTTGGGAAATAGATCCACTGTGCTTCAAAATGTTTAATGTTATTTAAACATTTTTAAATGTGCTTTTGTTTCCATTTTTCATTCTGATTAGAAAGATGAGAATTTGATTAAAAAATAATTAAACATTTTGTATTATGATTCCTATCTTCCCAGTCAGTTGGGGGATTGTTTTGTGTTTATTTTGGAATACAGTCACTAATCAATGGAACAGTTATTTATAGGCGTAATAAAGAGTTTCAAAAATAAAGGAGATAGAGTGTAGTAAATCCTTTTGTGTTTTTGAAATATGTTTGAATTTTGTCATGAATGTCAGTGGCTGAGATTGCATCCCCTCAAATAAATTCTGAAGTTTTAAAACTCCTTCTCATTTGAAGATTGTATATATAAAACCACAATATAAAACTCATTAAAAGAATGCTGGTTTTATTTTGCACAGTGGGATTTTTTCTGATTCATTAATTTAGTGGAAGCAATTTAAACCCAAACAATTTATGAACATGATTGACCTCTGACTGAATGCTGTGTTGGTTTCGACACCACTTTTTGCAGCTGAGAGTGTGACCAGAGGGAGACCTCTAATGGCAGGTCATTTGTATTTTTAATTCTGCTCAGCATCCTACACAGATTTAAAACTGATGTGAGAATATGCAGGAGGAAATCTTCTAGTCAGTCCCAGCAAAGCAATTTCAGGCTGATATTGCTGATAATCCAATTTGAAGCCAACCTACAACTCATCTGTTTTTTTGGGGACTGCCTTATATGGCAGTTATACTCTGAGGTACCCAAGTCTTCACAAACTTTTAATTTCTCAGTGTATTTCTGCTGTTCTCCCTTAAGTCATTTATTTCTGTTCTCATTACTTCCCTTCCTATCTAAGATTAAATACAGTATCAAAAATGTGCTGTAGTTCAGTGGTGATCAGTGACTTTTCTGGTGAATTAATTTCTCAGCCTTTAGAATTACTGCCTTACTTTATATTGTAATAGTTAAATAACAAGACTGATGAAACTCTAGTCCAGTTAAAATGTAACTTCTTAGTGAACGAATGAAAAGCTGAGATGCTGTTTCAAATAATCTAATAAAATTTCTTCCTTTTTACTTTGGTGTATTTCCCTTTGCTATTGTATATTAATAGTGTATCAGTCTGTATTTCTCCACCTGCATAAAATTATATGGAAAAATATGTTCTTTTTGATCTTATTGCTAAAGAAAATTGATGAATCTATATGATCTAAAACTTTGAAGGGAGGCTACTTTGTGCTCTAGCAATTGTCAAGAAGAACTTTTCTGCTTGACCATCTTGATAACTTTCAGTCCACAGGCATTAAAGATTTGCAAGGATTGAGTCAGAAAATGGTTATGTCTGCATTTATCAATATTTTCTAACAAGTTATGTTTTGAGAGAAGGCTTAAACTGAAAGTTCTAATGATTCCCACATACATACTGTGACTGGGCTAATCATACACTGTTTATCCTCAAAAGCTTCCTTTAATTCTTACTCATTTTACAGTGCTGTTAAGGTTTGAGAGATTCCTTATCTCTACTCATTATTGTTTTTAATGTGAAAGAGATAGCTTCATTTGTGGCTATGAAAGATTAATTGGTGAAGCTCAGGTGTTCTGTCTCCTCCTGATATCAGAAGGAATAACTAAGCAGCTTGGAAACTGAGATGGAAACAGGACCTGGGCAGATGAAATGGATGCCTGTCAAGAGGCAGCGTGGGTTAAGTTCTAGCTTATCTTCCACAGCTATCAGAATGTCAGAGCCTGTAACACTTTCCAATTTTGCTTGCAGGGATAAGCCTCTGTCGTAAAAATGTCAAAACAACCAGCATCACATGTCAAAGCCATTCAGGTAAGAGATAGCATTTATGTTTTTAATATAATAAAATAATAAATCTCATTCTCCATTGCTTGGCAGACTGCATTTTTACTCAGACAGAGCACCATAAGAATGCTAGCTGGGGTTATTCTGTTCAAATGAAAAGTTTAGTAGATATGAAAGCACTGAAAAAGTGTGACCTGGAGATCATCTTTTGATCTGAGCTGATAGAAAAACTGGATCAGATAGGTCCATTAATCACTTGTTTGCATGGTCTTTGCAGTGTTAGATTATGCTTTTGGAGGATCATCTAAGCAAAATATGGTAATGCATCTGCATAACTGTTAAGTAAAAATAATTCCTGCAACCATTAGATTTTCCACAAACCTAATATAATGCTGGGATATATAATAGGCTAAAAAGATAGCATGGGTGTTGTGAAGTTTTTCATGTCTGCTTTCTTAAGGAGAAAAAGCCTCAAGTTCAAATAATTGTTTAAGAAGCGTTTTATTTAGGAGCCAAAGGAAAATGAGAGAAACACAGATCTTTTAATTTGAAACATTCTTGTCTGCCACATAACCTCTTCAATGATATATTGAAGGATGATGGAGTTGGTTGTTGCATACTTGTTGCTTATAAGGATAGAGTTGATTGTTGCATACTTATAAAAGAAACAGCTGGAGAATTATTCCAACATCATCATGAAGTAAGGTCATGAAGAACGTGTTTAGTTCATGTTATCAATGGTTCTTGATAACATGAGGCCAAAATATCTTCTGAACTGAGGAATCTTACAGAAATATCATGTATATTGTAAAATACACTTCCAATGAAATTTTACTATGAGTTCAAATTGCCTTACCTAAGAAATACAAAATGCAATTTCTGTAGTCCTCTTTGTTCTCTGTTTTCTTGAGATAATACTAATGGATTGGAGCATCAAGATTAATTAGCCAGGGGCTAGGCAGGATCCTGAAGACGCAAGGCACTGTGAAAATGCAGATTCTCTTTATCATCATCGTCATCATCAATTCTACTGAAATAGGCATGCAAAATACCGTACACTAATTCTGTTGAAATTAGAAAAAAAATTTGCCATTTTGCCAGACTTTTCATTTCACTGAGTTCAAATTTAAATCCCTCTTTTACAGTGACTATAGAAATGTTTGTAGGATTAATGGAAAAATATGGATCTTTAATAGTTGAAAAGTATTTACATTTTCCATTTAAACTCAATAGGTACATACAAACATTTCTAAGGAATTAATTGTTTTAAATTTTTTTCTTAGAAATGTAATGATAGGCTGCATTTTATTTCTAGGATGGCTTCCAACTCCTAAATATAAACAATGCTCCTCAGTTGTTCATTTAAAAAATGCATTAAATTGAACCACTAAGTGTAATATTTTAGGAAACTTTAATTTTTGCAAAGGTAATTTGAATCATGAGAAAAATTGCAGCAAAAATTTAAAATATATCTATTAAGCATTGGGTCAAAGGTGGTTCTAGTAGAGAGACTTGCACCTGAATTGATTCTTGTTACACTTTGAGCAGTCTAAGAACTATGACTCAAACTGTCACATTACTTTTATACATTGTGATTCATATCTTATGATCCTTTGCTATTGTGTGCTGGTATAATAGGACTGACGTGCCCTGGGGAATGTACATCATGCTGCAGCAATGGGAAAGTAATGGCACCTCCCTAACTGAAGTGTTTCATGGTGTTCTGTCTCTGAAATGGCTTTTTTCTGACTGTACTAGGTACAGACAAAAAAGTTCACTTCCCAATAGTGATAAATACAGATGTGTGAGAGTTAAAGGCAGCAACTGGTTCCCAAGAGTAGTTTGGGGCAATAGAGGACCAAAGGATGTTAATTTCTGGAAACAACTGCTGACCTCCACTTCTCACTGCGTTGAAGGCTGTGAACAGCTCTGACTAAAACTTATTCTCTCTTGAAACACTCTTGGCTTTGCCAAGAGGTAGGGGTGAGGAGGTTTCTAGGTTTTTTTTTCTTGTTTGTTTGTTTCTGCATTTCGTTCTGTTTTCTCTCCAGCCTTTCTTTCTTTCTTTCTTTCTTTCTTTCTTTCTTTCTTTCTTTCTTTCTTTCTTTCTTTCTTTCTTTCTTTCTTTCTTTCTTTCTTTCTTTCTTTCTTTCTTTCTTTCTTTCTTTCTTTCTTTCTTTCTTTCTTTCTTTCTTTCTTTCTTTCTTTCTTTCTTTCTTTCTTTCTTTCTTTCTTTCTTTCTTTCTTTCTTTCTTTCTTTCTTTCTTTCTTTCTTTCTTTCTTTCTTTCTTTTCTTTCTTTCTCTTTCTTTCTTTTCCTTCTTTTCTTTCCTTTTTTCTTTCTTTTCCTTCCTTCCTTCCTTCCTTCCTTCCTTCCTTCCTTCCTTCCTTCCTTCCTTCCTTCCTTCCTTCCTTCCTTCCTTCCTTCCTTCCTTCCTTCCTTCCTTCCTTCCTTCCTTCCATCCTTTTTAAAATTAAATACATTCATACAAAAATTTCTTTCCAGATCACTCAGTCATCCATCTGGACAGCCAGGAATGGCTGTGATGTTGTGAAGGACTTATCCATAACAGTCCTCAACTCATGCACAGCTGCATCAGCTGTATCCTAACCTTAATACCCTCTCTCTAATAAACAGAAAGAAGAACACACACACAAAAAATCTCAAAGTACCAGTTCCATTGAGTCAAACCAGCAATATATTAGTATGTCATTTGTACGGGTGTTTTTCCTTTGGTCTGTTTAGAAGGAGCCTGGTAGAGTACATTGGTGCACACACCTACCCAGTCATTGCAAAAACTGCATGGCACTAAATCTGGTATGCCTTTCAAACAAAGGAGGAGGCAAACTCAGTTGTTTTCATAATTAGTATGGTTAAACATAACAATCACACCTAGAAAGTCTGTCTAAAGCAGTTAAAATTTAGGATTTCCAGAGTCTAGAACAGAAAATTTCCTATTTAGCATTTTACTGGATGGAGATACTCTAGGGTCATATCTCCATCTCAACTCACAGGTGACAAAAGTCTTGAAACATATTTTTAAAACAAAATTATCTTTTTCTTAAACAACAGAAGTGGTTAGGCAAGATAGCACAAGTCCTTGCAGAGCTATGCTGGTGTACAGAATTTGGCACACACATTACACAGCTGCTCATCTGCGAGACAGCACCAGCTCTGGATTAAGAGATTTACAGCTCAGGACTTTGGTACCTATGGTCAGGAATTGTTTGGAAATGTCATATTTTCATTTCATACTGGAAATATTTAATTTACAGTATGTATTATCAGATCCAAACTGTTTTTAACTGTGTCTTAAAGAATGTACATTTTACTAAGTTATTTTGTCATGACTGCGTACTTCTTGCTTGAGCTCTGACATGAATGTCCCTACTGCAGACAAAAAAGTACAAACTGCTTTAGTGTGACACAGATTACTGGGAAGGTGCTGAAGCAGACCAAAGAGTGTTTTATTGAATTTAATTAGCAGCCTGGGACTTTTGCTTTCTGAACCACTTTTAGTCACAGTTGGTCTGTCAATCACAGTGGGAAATGCAAGGGCTGTAGTGTTCTGTGGGAGGCTGGCTTCTGCTTTGGCTGCCTCCAAGGGGAAGGAATGTCCAAGTTCAGTGCAGCACAAGGAGAGATATCCCTTAAAATTTCAGCTCTTCAAACTTGTATGACCATGCTAGCTGTAATTTGCAGAGAAGTTTCCCATTCTAAAAATCAAAGCTGTCTGGAGATACCAGAGCTTGTCAGGGAAATTACTTAAAACTAGAAATGGCAAAGCTGGGGTTTTTCCACCCATAAATGAAAAAGAGAGTTAGGAACTGTGAAGCTGAAAATGCTCTGTCCCCTGGGAACTTAAAGAATGCAGGTGGAAAGTTTCACAATATCTAAACTAATGCCCAGTGGAAGACCTTTATGAAACAAATACCTGGTTGTCTGTGACCCTGCAGATATTTGGCAGCCCCACTGAATTGACAGTGTCATCTTGCATGAATAAGATAATGGGAAACAGGTATGAAGAATACAGGGAAAAGCATTCATTTCTTGGCAGATGGATTTTTAATTTGCTTGTGATTTGATTACAGCTGTCAGAACAGTTGTTGCTACTGAAAACCGTGAGCTGTTTTCCTGTGGCTGCCCAAGTGGGTCATGATGTGCAAGACCATAACTTGAGCAGAAGGATGGGATTATTTGTCTTCATTTAGTGCAGATCAGTCAGGTGGTAAAGGACAAGAACAGAGCTCTCTGTTGGAAGGTTCTCTGCTTCTGCTCCCTAACATTATTGATTCAACCCCTGGCTTTACCAGTGGGAGTCGTGGTATTTTGATGACATTTCCTAGGAGCAGCTTCTCTTCTGAGATCACGAGATAAGAATAAGTATAAATTGTGCATTTAGTTGATCATGCCATTTGACTTTTAAAACAATCTTGGCTGGGTCACATTGGGAAATGGATACTTTTCAGCTGCTCTTTCCTAAGCAGTGTTTTGTGCTATTCTATTCCCCAAAATCTTTACTTTTAAGATATCTATTATCAGCCCCAATTATGTTATGGCTACTGGCTTTCTGCCCCAGATAAAAGATGAGATTGATGCAGTTGTGTGGGTATCATTCTGGAGGGAGTTTGCTGAAGCCAGGGGCCAGTGGTCTTCCCAGTGTTGGAGCTGGTTCAGGTATTTGCAGTTCATAGCAACTGTGGGTAAATTTTGTTGGTAAAATCATATTTTAAATACTTATGGCTTAAGATGACTCAGGGCAGGCTTCCCTTCTAAGGTACCTGTGATTAAGTGAGGTGAAAACTGGTGTCATTAGAGAATGGAGAGTGGTCCAGTCATTGGGTATTATTGAAGGATTTGCATGATTTACACATTTAAACATTGCTTTTGGCACTCACTTTCTGTTTGACCTTGACCAAACTGAAGCAGACCTAGGTGCCTAAAGACACTTTAGTGTCCAGTACTCATTTGTTTTAAAGTCCAATGAAATCAGAAAGCATTAGTCTAAAATGCAGAAATTCAAAAGCTTTCTAGTTTGTTTTTTCACTTTCTCTCTTTCAAATGGAGATGAAAGCACTTCTCTTTCCACAGGAGTGGTGTGATGATGCATACATTGAAGGCATAAGTGCTTGGAAAGCATGATAATATCTATATGCTTGTCCCACTCCTTTCGACTTTTGCCATTTACCAACTGTATCTTCATTTATCAGTCACTATTAAATGCATCAAATTTCCTTCTCACAGGCTAATATTAACATCCCAATGGGAGCATTTCGACCTGGTGCAGGCCACCCTCATATAAGAAAAGAAGTTACACCTGAAGAAGTGGAGGAGGTAAGCAAAAAAGTTTTTTGATTTGTTTTTTTCTGTGGAGAATCCCTGCCATAAAATGGAAAAAGCCTTTAAAGTGATCTTATAGCTCCACATGCCAATCTTAGGTACCACAGCTGGACATGCACTGATCATTCATGGAAATAAATGGCCACTTACTAACACTTCATATATAAATAGTTCTGCTTTTGGTGCCAAGGCATCTGTAGGAATATAAACAGTTTTAAAGGTGTGTAGCTCTGCTTCCCCAGCGGGATCATATCTGCTGTCAGGAGAGAGAGCCAGGATTTCACCAGCAGTATTTGTCTAGATGGGAGCTGATGAGATACAGCAGGAAAACTTATAGTAAGGCTTTGGAAGACTTTGCTGCTATCTGTCACCCTGTGGTGTGATTTATTGTTACAGCTTAACAATATTGGAACAGGTTTTCAAACACAATGCTTTTTAGAAGGTTTATCAACAAGAAGAAATTGAATGTGAAGACACTTGCAAGTTAAAACAGGAATTCCAAACCCATTTACCAGCCCAGGGGTGAAAATACTCCATTTTAGACTGAATTCTTTATTTTCATGCTTGTAGTATTTTACAGGAAGTGTTTAACACTGAGTTTTGAATATACAATCCAATTTATACCTTAACTAACATTGATCACAAAGGTTATGATTAAACACAGATATCATATTTTTGAATCATATTAAATCATCTTAATTACCATTAATTTCAATAATAAATGAGACCCTAACACCCACAGTTAGAAAAGGTAGTGGTAGCTATTCCAAGCAGGATAAAAAAGATGGGTGCTCCTGGTTTCCTGGCCAGTTTCCTTAGTTTGGATTCCCAATCCCCACATGAGAACTCATCCTGCTGGGCCAGAGCTCCCACTGCTCCTCACAGCCAAGGGCAGGACAGTCTGTGTAAGAGCCAATTCTTCCTTTCCTGTCTCAGTCAGATTTTTTTTCTGAATTTTGCCATATTTTTGATATAAACAATGCTCTGTTTACAGAGAACTTTCCTGAAATAATCAAACCTAGGCTGACTTGGCTCTTCAGAAGATTCAGAAAACAAACATACAAAATGACCTTGGATAGATATTGTGGCTTTTTTTCTTGGAAAGGAATCAAAGCATATTCTCTCTGCAGTAATTAAACTGGTGAAGGAGTGGATGTTATTAAGCAGGAACTAATATAGCATGTGTGAGTTCTAGTAGTGTTTGAGAAATAAAATAAATGACTGGTGCTGATAATTACATTTGTTTGGGTAATTGAATTTTGCTTTGTTTCTCAGCTGCATGAATGCTCTATAAGAGACAGACATTATGGAAGATCTTGGCCCAGGTTTTATGGGCAATACTCAACCAAACCAATGGGATTAAACACTACAGAAAAAGATCTTGTTATAGGAATAGAATAAAAATGCTACCAGTGAACTTGTCATTTCAATTTTCTCATCTTGTTCAGTTTTGCCATACAGCTCATGATTTTTCAGAGCAGTTTTAGACAAATGCAACTTTTGCTAACAGTGCATAATCACTGCTAACAGTGCATTTTCCACTGTATTTTAAAGCCTTGACATAGGAGATGAGGGGAATATGGATCTTACTCAAAGGGGTGGTGGAGTCACATAGGAATGTATATTTTTGAAGGTCAGTGGAGCAGACATGTTAACGTGAAAAGAAATGGAGGGTGGGAATTACAGAAAATAACTCTTCTTCAGTCAGAGCATTGCCATGCTTGTATTTTTTAACCCTTAGTGTATAAGTGACTCTTCAGGCTTCCTTCCATTAAACTGAAGGCTTTAGTCTGATCTCAGCTGTGTGTTGCACATGGAGTGAGGGATACAGGGAGCAGTGAGGTCATAAACAGCAAACACCTGAGGCTGGAAGAGAAAGCTGACAACAATTTATGGAGCACAAAGTCTCCAAAATGTGGGCAAAGCTCGCACCACTTATTCTACAAGAGGAATGGTATTGCACATGACTTGAAATGGTATTTTTTACATAGTTTCTGCTATGTACTAATAAGTACTGCAGGGTTCAGGAAGTGCTTGTTTCTCCTGATTATTCAGATTATCTAGGAAAACTGTAAAAGGAAACAATACAAGCTCATGACATCTTTGACTACTGATACAATTTTCCTTCCAAACAGCTTTTGTAGCAATTTACTTATTCTCTTGCTGTGCTTTGCTACTGTTTCAGGATGTTAGATCATTAAACCAGATATCAGGCAGTACATACAGTTCCTGGGGATGAATTACTGGCTGGGATTTGAAGTCATCTAGCAAAAAATACTCAAATATTATTAGTTATTATCTTGGATTAATTGTTAATGTATTGGCTAAAATGTGAGAAACGATAATACAAGTGTACCAAGCCAAGAAATGTAATTATCAATTCCATTTTCTTATATCTGGTGATCTTAGGAAAGTCCTTAAAGACCAGATAGGAAGAAAATGACAGTTTTCTACAATGCCTTGTTTGCTACTTGACATTGAAGTATTCTTCCTGATTAACATGTAGTCCATTAGTCAACAGAGAAAAAAAAGAGGTTTACTGGCCAATAATATTTGACAAGTAATGTTGGAATTTAAAAATTAAGTTAAATACTAAGAATTGACTGTTCACAGTTAATGCACCTTTTCAAAAAGGGTGGCTAATAAATCTAAATAATGATTGAACTCTAAAAAGCCCATCACAAGAGGACATTCACAGAGTAATCAAAAATGAAAAAAAAAATCATAATGAAATTTTTTGTAGTAAAATATAAATTAATCTCTATGTGTACTTCATTCCTTCTTTATGCCAGCTTTATAAAATACCCAACAGGCTGGAACAACAGTAAACTCATGTCTGGAAATCTACTCCTTCAAAATATTACCCAGTCTAGAGTAGAAATGGTCTTAAATACCTGCCCTACTCACCTAGAAGCAAGTGCAGCTGAGGAAGTACCAAGGCCTGAAATGCTGTGGTCCATGGGAAATGAGCTGAGTTGCTCACTATTGTATAATTGCTGTGTTTTTACAGTGTCAGCAAAATAGCCATGCAGCACTACCCTAATTCAAATATAAAGTGATAAAAACCCCTTCTGGTCTTGCACCTGAGGTTATGAAAAGTTAAATTTCAGCTCATGTTGATCTTGCATGGAGCTTTTGGAGTCCATAACCTGCTATCATAGCGCTTCTCCAGAGCTGCAGAAGTGCATGATGATCTTCCTCTCCAAGTGTCTGCCAACTGTGAAACTCTCAAAGGAATTAGATGATAAAAATGGTTCTTCTACTTTTTTGTCATCTAAAATATGAAGGATTTAGAGTTGCCTTTAATTCTACAGTCAGTTACTTTCTAGTAATCGACTGGCATTGTAAATTCTTACCCATTCTAATCCTCATTCCTCTACACTGAGCATCTTCTATTCTTTTCAGAATGGTTTTAGACATTTTAGACAACAAGCAACAAAATAACTTATCTCTTCATGACTCCACCCCTTTTTCCACTGGGATTGCCTTTAGTATAAAAATATAATTTCCTGTTTTTCAAATAACTGATCTATGCTCATGTTCAAGAGATTGCTATTGCAGCAGGAAGGTCACTGCTGTCCTTTTTGCAGAATGCTCCTGCTTCAACAGAGGAGGAGAAAGAGAAGAAACTGCTCCCAGGAGCTAAGAAACTTCCAGGTCCTGCTGTCAACTTGTCAGAGATTCAGAACATAAAGAGTGAGCTGAAATATGTCCCCAAAGTTGAACAGTAGCTGGAAGAATCAGGTGAGTAGAAGAGAAGTTCTCTGCATGGCTCTGGGAGAAGCAGGCTGATCCAGAGAGCTCTCTAAGTAAAAAGATGGCTTTTCAATTACTCAGTGGACCTGGAGTCGCACCCCATAAGTCAAAGTAAAAGTATTAGAACTCATAACTGGGATTTGCTGTTATTTCAAACATAGATCATGTTGGAGACTATATCCAATGGTATATGGCACCCACCAACCAGCCTCAAGTAGTCTGTTCAGCATACTAAGAATTCAGTGCATTTGGAATATCAAGGCCACTTTAAAAATAACATATTGCTTCATATGCATAAGTTCCAGTTTTGAACTTGTATTTTTACAATATAACTACAAATGAATGCTTTACAATGCAAATAAATTTATTGCAGTGATGGTCAAGTAGGTCAGTATTTTTGAAAAGCTCCTTTGGAACATTAGATATTTGATAGTAATTTATTTATGTAATTCAAAATTGACATACAAATGGTTCCATGTATTTGATCACACAAACATAGCCAATGCTATTTGTGGCACTCCAGGACTTGCTGTAGTCCAGCACAGGAAGGACATGGACCTGTTGGAGTGAATCCAGGGGAGGGGCACAAAGGTGAAGGGAGGGCAGGAGCATCTCTGTGAAAGACAGAGAGAGTGAGGTTGTTCTGCCTGGAGAAGAGGAGGCTCTGGGCAGATCTCACTGTGGCCTTTCAGTACTCAGAGAAGGTTTAGAGAAAAGAGGGGGACAGAATTTCTAGTAGGTCTTCTTGTCATAGGACAATGAGTAATGGTTTTAAACTTGAGGGCGTTGGATTCAGACTAGATATAAGGAAGAAGTTTTTTGCTATGAGGGTGATGAAACATTGGACCAGATTGCCCAGAGAGGTGGTAAATGCCCCATCCCCACAAACACTGAAGATCAGGCAGGATGAGGCTCTGAGCAACCTGGTCTAGTGAAGATGACTCTACTTATTGCAGAGGGGTTGGACTAGATAACCTTTAAAGATCCCTTCCAGCCCAAACCACTCTGTGATTCTATGATCATTTTATTTAAAAGGAAATATTCAGTGCCAAGTGAATATTTCCAAAAGGAAATATTCAGCATTTCAGTGCCAACTTCAGAAAAATTTATATCTGATTTAAACAAGACCCATAGGCCTTGGTTGCTCCACATACTGAACCTTACAGAAATTAATGATAACTTCTGTCCATGAAATTATCCTCTGATTTCTTTGAAAAGCCTGAGTCAGTAAAGATGTGTCAGGCACTTACAATGAAAACTCAGATGTACAGAGAAGTTTTAATTCCAAAAAATCCCCACTCTGGCTACAATAAGAAAAAGATAGTTGTGTCACATAATACTCACCTGCATTGCTAGTTGTGCATACTGACTGATAAATCCTCTTTATCCTGAAGAGAGGCAGAGGAGTTGAGCAGGAGAAAATCATCTGGAATTTACTGCACAGAAGCATAAATGAAAACCAGAGGAAAACAGAAAGCAATGCAAAGGGGTTCTGGGAATGCAGAAGTGCTAAGAACCAGGAATCTTAAAAGAAATTGTGTATAATTTGAGTGCATTGCCCCAGTGCACTCTGCATCATTAACATCTTATTTTTATGTACAGCATAAATATGCCATTTGGAAGGAAAGAGTGTTGAGTTTTTTCTTGCTTTTACCCTGCTGTGTCATAATGTTCCTGATATTTTAAACATGCAACAGAGTCTTTCTCTTCAGGAAACTTGGGGGCGGGGGGGAAACATTTTGTAAAATGTAACATTTTAGTAATTTCAGTAAAGCACTGCCCAGAGAAATATGAATTTTTAATGTGAGGGTTTAAAGAGGTTTTTTCCTATAAGAGATATTCCAACATAAATTTAGCCCCATATTTATTCTCAGATGATTGCTATTTTTAACATTTAAAAGTTTTTTAGTAATTACCTTACTGAGAATCTGACAGAAACATTTAGGGCAGGCTCAGATGTTCATTCAGAAGTTTTCTACAGAAACATCAGCAAAGTAAAGGGCATCTTGAAAGCAGTGAGGTTATTAAGAAGTAATTTCTGTCTCTGTCCTTCTTTTGATGTATTGGTTATCAGGTTCTGACAGGGATGCAGATTTCTGGATTTTGGGTAGTGCAGTCACAGATCATATCTGAAAACTCAGTGTTCACAGGAGTTGCAGGTACAGGACTCGCTGGATCCTGTGAGTTTGGATGTTGTGCAGAACTAAGCATGTGCCTGAATTCCACATAAAATTGAGATGTAAATTAATCAGGTGCCACATCCAACAGCCTTGAGTGATTCTAAATGTAAGGACTGTCCCCTATAAGAGGAAATTCATCAGATCCAGTGCTTAAGTTGTGGCCTGCAGCCTTGTATAAAATGTGGTATTGTCAGAGAGCTGTTTTATGATTGATTGTGCAAATCCAGAGAAGATTATCTTAGTCTGCAAGAAATTCACAGTCACATATACCTGATACTTTGCTCCATCTACAAGAAGGGGTTAGAGATCATCCTTTGGATGTGATGATCTCAAAAGAATGGTGAGCTGACTGGTCAATAGAATATGCCTGTGCAGAGTGTGTACTGATAGATGAGGGTGTTCTTTGGTTGTCACAGTTTGGAAATTAATTCTCTCTTACATCAGTACTATAATCTTCTCAGATATTCACTACTGAGGGATTTCCCTTTGATATTATTTTTTTCTTTCTTGTGGTACTCTGTAGGAAACTCTGTTTCTACTTGAAACAGAATAACTCTAAATATTTGGGATAATTACCATCATTCTGTGATCCTTTAGTATGATGCAATAAAAAAAATCACAAGTACACTTTAACATGCCACAGATATCAAAGATTTTAGAGCCACAGCAAGTATTTCCAACTTTACCTCCTGTATTGTCATATTTCATGGTTAGTTTCAATAAATTGTAAGCTAACATAATTAATTTTGTATTAATTTTATCCATATTTTCTTGCTCAGTTTAGCATGCAAACCCAGCAGCAAAAATAAGAAACCTACAAAGCATTAGGTTGGTTCATTATTTGCAAACCCATTCCTACATAATTTTCACTTTAGAGTAACTTCTGTTAAATGTCTTTGGTCTTGCTCTTCACCAAATTAGGAAACATGAATAGACTTGCTATGATCATAGAGGTGACTACAACAGTTTGTGGGAGGAATGTAATTAGGGAGATGTCATGAAGCTGGATCCACTGAAGGTCATCAAGTGCTCCTCAGTTAAGATATTACTGCAGTCATCCCTTATGGGGATCTGGTCTATCATCTATAATTAGCTAATTAGCATAATCTGTCATAAAGATTTTTTTTCTTCCATACCTGTAGATGATGTGTTACATGCAGCTAGTTTTAATATACAATGTGAGTTATGATTCATTTCCCTTTTATCCATCTACAGTTTTTTTTCTGCTCTCTTCACACCTGGACATTTCTACATGCACAGGAGTGAAGCATGTGCAAAATAAAATAGTAGCAAAATATTATACACTAAAAATACATGCCCTGTTGAATAAGTAATGGTAGGAAGCATTTAGTTTGTGACAAATGGAGCCTGCTATGGCTGAGATTTATTGCCAATTGTTGTGATATCTCATGTGATAACTAGTATGGTGATTGTACTTGAAAATGGGACTGAGCACAAACTGGCATTTCCCCTGAGAATATAGATAATGGCAGCCAGTTAACTTCTGCAGCTCATGTTCATTCTTCATCCTGCATCCCTTCACCTTTTGTATCCTGAAGTGTGGAGGGCTGTGTAAGAAATCTTTTTATGGTGAAGGGCCATGGAGTCTAAATGCTGGACTTTGGTTTCAGAGGACCTACACCTTCAGCTAAAGGGGTCTAGTCCTTTCCTCTTGAAGGAAGCGTTCTTAGTGGAAGAACTTCTCAAAAGGCAAAAAGGGAAATTTACTATCTTAGTTACAAAACAGTTGTCATGGACATTGGGGCAGCACTCCCAGCACTGTATTCTGGTTGTGTTTGGAGAAGGGGATTGTCAGGATCCCCATCACAACGTTGATGAGATGGTTTCTCACCATCTGATGCAGTACTTGCAGACAAATTGTCTTTACCTGGAGCTCTCCTGGGGAGGGTGGTTTGATTGCAGAAGGTAGTTCTGTTGTCAGGTTACAGAAGCAAGGGAGCTCTACTTTGAAGGCTGAAGAACTAGCAAAAGCTTCCTAGTGCAGCTTAGCCTTTGCACTATGCAGAGAATTGCCCCACATAAAATGACAAATCTTGTCAGCAGAGCAGCCTCTGAGATTGGCATCACTTGGGGAAAAAAGAAAGGGGGAAAAACCCTAAGTCCCTCAGGGAATAAAGGTCTTATATCCATATACACAAGATGTTCCTTGGTGTTGCTATTAATTATTTACATAAAATAAATTGTCAATCACCCCAGGGTAAAAATGCACATTATAACTTTGCTCACTAAAGATTTAATTAGAGTTTCCTGCTATATATTTGTTCTAAAGCTGCTCCTCAGTTAGCAGCAGCCATTTACCTCTCCTGGTGTCCCTGCTCTTATACACAATTTAGTGTTTGCATCTTGTCCCTGTGCTCATGTGGATCAAAGGTGTACAGTTAAACTGCAGTACAGTTACAAGCAAGGTTTTTGCTTTTTTCTCCAGAAACACAACAGTGATTTGCTAGTAGAGGAACTCTGACCTGCTGTGAGCTCTTGAAAGAGCACTGCAGTTTTAGGAATATGTGTTCATTTACTTGAATCCCAGCAGCCAAAGCTTCTGTGAGAAAAGGGAATCCTGCATCCAGAGGATGCCAAGGTAGGTCAGGAGATAAGATCTCCTGGAGTGGGAACTATGGGATGAAGAAGGAAGATGTGCATCAAGAATTTCTGCAGGACCCTCCTGCCAAAGTGAGAGGGGTCATGGGGAGATCTCCTCGATGTGCACAAGTACCTAAAGGCAGGGTGCAAGCAGGACAGAGCCAGGCTCTTCTTGGTGGTGCTGAATTGCAGAAAGAAAAACACTCC